CGGCCGCAGCCACCGCCGCCATCGCGGCTTCCTCCCTCTTCGGCATCAACGATCCTACAACCAGGACGTGCCCGTCAGTTGATTCTGTCGCCTTACTCTCTTTCTCATTCTCTCATTCTCTTTTACTCGCTCCTTTTATTCTTTTCTCTACATCTGTTCCTCTCTCTCTCTCTCTCTCTCTTTTACGCATACAATCACTTCACGTACGAGCACACGCGCCTCTCTCCGTTAACACACACACGCCCACGCACGTAACACATGTGACCACTCGCACCGACTCCTTTTCTCGATCGTCTCACTTTCTCTTCCGATCGTTCCACACCCTTCGACCACACGCTATCGATCTATCTCTTTCTCTCTTACTCGTCTCCTCCACACGTGCACACGCTGCGTCGTTCCATGCACACGCGCTCCCATACCTGTACACACGCACGCAGACTACTCTCGTACTCTCAGGGCATGCCCGGTTGTAGGATGTTTGGTTGTGTTGTTGTTGATGTTGTTCTTGTCGATGTAGCTGTGGCTCGTTGCTCTCGATTAGACAAAAAATATGTACGCCGATACGCATCGATCGCGTCAATTTCGGCCGCCTACGTATTTTTGCGCCGCTACAAATTCTCGAGCGTGTTCGAACGTCCGCTCCGTCTTCGTTCGCTCTCCCTCTCGTTCGTCGTTAACGGGTTCGCGTTTTCTTGGATCGGCGACCGTTCGCGGTCACCCGTCATTTCGCCTCGCGTAGGCAAAAGTTTCGGCGATAGTTATACAAAAGAAACGCGACGATGATTCCCGAGCATCGTCGCCACCTTCGTCCTCGTGCATTTCTCTCCATGAGTGAGAGAGAGAGAGAGAAAGAGACAGAGAGAAAACAAAGAGAGAAAGTCGGGTAAAAGGGAGTTCCCGATGTAAGAACGAGACAAGTGAAGGCGGAAGACAGGGTGGAGTTGGTGGAAAGGACGAGAGAGCGTACGAAGAGAGAAAGAGAGACAGCCAGACAGACAGAGTGAGAGAGAAAGAGAGAGAGAGAGTGAGCGAACTACGTAAGAACCCTCGTATTGATCCACCCTCTACGCCTCGTTACGACTATCTTTCCTACGAATCTCTAAGCAAAAGGCCTCTCCCACTTTCGTGCACGTCTCATTACGTAAAAGGGGAAGAGGATGTGCAGGCACGGCGTGACAGGTACCCGCCTTCGAAATCGTCTTCTATGAGCGAGCCACCCCTCTAATCTTCCTCCCGTCTACCCCCGTGGATTTCGTTCGAAGGAAAGCAGGGATGATTGGCCGCCTCGATCGCGAACCACGCGTTTAATTTACGACCGGATAGCGTCGTCGTTCCTCTCCACGTGACTCCGCCGAATCAACCGGGATCGATTTTTCTTCCGGATGAAATATTCGTAGCTGAAACCCGGGGAGTTTCGCGCGGGAAAACGCGACTTATGCGTTCTTGATTTACAACCCGAAGACGAGCCCCGATTTGTTACAATTACCGGGGAAAATCGTATTCGTGGGTGATTTACAACGTCGGCAGGTCAGAAATCCATGCAGAGTTATGGCCACGTCGTGCAGTTCGAATCCTTTTCCGGACTTTGCTATTTAACTTGGCGAGCTACCCGTGAAAGTAAGCTTACGAATAAAAGCAACGAAATATTCCTTGAGACTCGAAACGTTCCATGACACTCGAAACACCATTGAAACTGTTTCGCGATAAAATTCGTCTGACAATTTTCAGGGCGAACGTAAATTTTGTTACGTATAAATTATTACTGCTTTCGAGATAATTTAATTTTACAAATTAAAGTTTACGGAGGCTGAGGGATGCTTAAACTCTGATTCGAGAGTAGCGCGGTTGTATCGAGGGTGCAAGAATAACAGAAAATCGAATAACTTGGAAGGAATTTCTTCTCCGTCGGATGGAATCACGTAAGACAGTCGGCTGAGTAATTGTACCAGCCAGTTCGATCGATTAGGGTGGGAAGTGTACGTGCGCGCTTGATTACAACGAACCTCGAAGTCGATCGGTTGGAAGAGAGTGATAGAACGGTGGAACGGGGATGGGGAAGATCGTCCAGCTCCATAGAGAAAATACACCGGACAAGGATCGGAAAGGAACCGTAGGATCATAAAAACGGTGTTTGACTTAACCCTACAGAGGGTTGCGAGAAAACGGAATAACAAGAAATTTAGAAAAATTGAGAAACTTAGCAAATTTACAAAGTACAATTTACAAGATAATACTAATAGTTCTTGATACGTCGATAATACTCTAAGAATACTCTACCGTTTGAACGCTTTACCCTGTGCGGACAGTTCCAAAAAGCGAAAGGAAAACGAAAGTGAAGTACAGCAGAATGGTCTTAACGCGCAGCAACATCAAAGGGGTGGAATTCGATAAAACAGAAACGGGGATGGAACGAATGGACGGCAAGGACTACTTTGAAACAGAGCCAGGTACAAAGTTGGGGAAATTGGAAGGCGACAAAGACGCGGTTGGTAGTCCGGCGCGAATTAAAACGGGGACAAAAACACGAAATGACAGAGTTATGAAAATGGATGCAGAAAATGGAACGAATGTAGAGGAAGGAAGGGAGAAAGGATGCTGTTGACGAGGAAGAAGAGATTCGGAAGCAAAAGGCTGGGATGATTGCGCCAGTCCATTAGCGGCGTCGCTCCGACGAATTGCGCCGCATTAACGAGGACCTGCTTCTCAAGAAGCAGTCAGCACGCTGATTGGCTGAAAGGAAGTCGAAGATCGATGTCTTCGGAGTTTCCGGAAAACTTCTTCGCTGTCTCCGCTTACGCAACGATAATACCGGTTAAGAGAGAAAATTTCGGAGGAAAAACGATCGCCGAAATCAATTTTCTGACGGGGATCGGATTTGGATCCTTTTAGTCGGACATCGACTCTCTCGGGAACTAATCAGAACGAGATCGCTTCCCTAAGGGTACTGGAATCAAGGGGGTGTGCTTTTAACCCTTTGCGCTTGAAAGGTGAGTCATAGTCGATGTTTAATTCGATAGCAGAATAGACACTTTGCAGAAAGGTTTTCAACCCCCAAATGAACTCTTAAATCTTCTATTTCTTGAATCGATAACTCGTTAAAGTTAGTAAATATAAACTTCAGATAATAGAGAAAAACGCTTTCGAGTGCAAAGGATCACACGCTAGAAGCATGACTACGCCAGACCAAAAACGTTCTCCGCCTCGAACACGTTCGAACTCACGGGAAACTCATTAAAACCGTCAGAAAAAAAATTCGTTCATCCCGGAGTTGGAAACTTTCATATTTCTTTGGAAGTCGAGCAATTTCGAAGCGATCAATAACTCCCTCCCGCCTCTTTTATCTATCGTGAGCCCTCCTCGAGTTTCTTCGAGCGGTTATTCCCGTCGGAAGGAACACCTGGTTTCCGGTACCAACTTTCTTAACGATCGGTTACATCGAACGCGCTTGGCACGGCTTAGGTTTATGACAGGCTGATGTATGAGGCCTCGACGGATGGGGGAGGGGTTGCGTTACGAACGGGGAGAAAAGTTTAATTTAGGTAGCCTACGTTGCCTACGAGGCCCTCTGCACATTCGCTTCCCCTCGCAGACGTCGGGCGAAATTTTTACGAAGGGGGCAGAAAAGTGGCGAAAGCAAATAACGTTTGTCCT